ATGCAATCTATCCAGGCTTCAGAGTGCTGAAAGCAGGAACAAAGGGAGTTTGTGAGCCATGGGCCTCTTTGATTTAACAGCACCCAGTCTAATAGCAATCCCTTTGCTTGAAATAATCCTAAAACTGCCCCTTTCAAAAGGAACTGTGACCTTGGTACTTCTGCTGCCACATTTTGAGAAGGGTGTCATGAATCCCCAGTCCAAATAGGCAATAGGACAAGTGCCTGCAGCCACTGTGGGCCACTCAAAATAGGCATGCAGCAGCTCAGACATGACAAAAAGGAGTCCAAAAAAACCCTGTGCCAAACATCCATCAGCATCACAGAGCACATGCTCTACTTTCTTACAGTCCATCTCTGTTCCTCACACAGCACAGGACTTTTGGCTTACGGGCTACTCTTCCCACGTTCCATTTCCTAGAACCACAGAATCATAGATTGGTTTGGATGGGACAGAATCTTAAAGGATGTTTCATTCCAGCCTCCTGCCATGGGCAGGGACACCTTCCACTAAACCAGGTTTTTTCAACCTGACCTTGAACATTTCCAGGGATGGGGCAGCCACAGCTTCTCTGAGCAGCCTGTGCCTCACCAGCCCTCACAGGGAAGAATTTCTTCCCACTATTCAATATAACCTGACCTCTGGCAGGTTGAAGCCATTGCCCCTTGTCCTGTCACTCCAGATCCTTGTCCAAAGTCCTCTCCAGCCCTTTGGAGCCCCTTTAGGCACTGGAAGGGGCTCTGAGCTCTCCCCAGAGCCTTCTCCAGGCTGAACACCCCCTGCTCTCTCAGCCTGTCTCTGTAGCTGAGGTGCTCCAGCCCTTTTTGTGATATCTGTGGCCTCCTCTGGACTTGCTCCAACAGGTTCCCTTTGTCCCCTTCTCTCTCTTCTTCATCCTCCCCACCTCACAAGCAGTCCTCACCACGGAGATGGGACAGCTTTCCCTCCTACATCTGCTGCTGCTGGATTCTACCCTCCATCCCTCCCATCTCAGCTCCATGGCTCTCCTCAGCAGAGGAGAAGGCTGATGGGTGAGATCTGGTCCTTCCGACTGCCCTGGGCAGGGGTTGGGCATGAAGATCGGGGGTGGGAATAACCAACAGATTCTGCAAAGTCACAGCAGTGAGCTCTGCTGGCACAGAGATCCACAGGGCAAACACAGCGTGAGCCGTGAATGCACAATCAGGGCTGCAGCCTGGGATGTGTCCGAAGGAGATTCTCCTGTTGAAGGAAGGAGAAATTGGCTTTTGCATAAATAGCCACAAAAATAGCTGAGGGGAAGCACAGAAAAATGAGTGGGAAAGCAAGCTGGAGTTTTTCTGGCAGAGCCTGCTTTGCTGCCAGTCTGAGTCTCTCTTTTGGGCAGATATCAAAGGCTGCACCCACACCAGCTGCTGCTGGAGATCCTTTTCATTTAAAAAAAGGAGCTCTATCTATAGAGAGTAGCCACCTTCCCTATAAAGCATTTCAGGGTGAGAGGCATCCTTCTCTGGGCATGCATTGTTGTACCCTGCAGTGATATTCCAGAGTATCCAGAGAGAGATTGGAGCCCAGTGACAGCTCTTTAAATAGTTAACAAACCTCCCTGGAGAAAGAAAAAAAAAAAAAAAAAAAAAAAAAAAAAAAGGAAAAGATAATTTTAAAAAAGAAAGACATATTTACAGTCTAACTTCTCATGAAAAACTTGTGAAAACAGGCGTGGCAACTGCTCAGCCTCAGGCAGAATCTTCATCAGGGCAAGTCTCGAGCTTTGGAGCAGGGGCAGCACAAGGGCCCAACACAGCTTTGTTCTTTCTGCAGTCGGGGCTTCTCCCACCTGCTGCAGTTGTCCCCAGCCCTGGGGACCAGAGGCATTTGGAGCAGGGGAAAGGCTTTGTGGCTCCTTTGGCTGTGGGCTTGGGGAGAGGGATTTCAGCTGAATACTCACCCAAAAGCAATGACCCCAACCTGCAGCTCAATAAAGGGTAACCCAGTATATCCCCAGCTCAGCTCTTCCCACAGCATAAAACTATAAACCACAGAACATCCAGAGCTGGAAGGGACCCACAGGGATCAGAGATGAACTCCTGGCCTTTCAGGGAACAACACCAAGAACCCCACCACGTACCCAAAGGTGTTGTCCATCCAAACCTCGGTGAAAGTGTAAATTCTGCTCCTTATTTTTGCTGTTAGAAGTTGTAATTGATGGAGGAATTGATGGAGGGGCGAGTGTTGTTGACTGAGGGAGAGGAAGGGAGATCTGGTTCTTGCAAAGCCAGATCTCTGCCCAGATTTACCCAGAGCCAAGGAGCTGCTTGGGGAGAGCTCAGTCCTCAGGCCATCCATTCCTCAGCCTTTTCCAGCACTTGATTTCAGCTAGCAGCAGCAGAGAGAATACTTGGTACGTTAATAAATCCTAAAATACTGAATAAAGCACTTTGGTTTATGGTTTTGCTGTTAGAACTCACCCCTGGATACTTATAATTAACTGAACTAGAAGAAAAATAAGGATTTCCATTTTTTTTTTCTCTCCAGTTTACTTTTTTCTTTTTTAAGAAGAAAATCACCACTGCTAATAAAAAACCCTCTCCTGATATTTACCTGCTTGGGGAGGAATATTGATCTCTGCAGAGAGAAAGCACTTTCCTTATTGCACATCTCACTGTCCAGTCCATCTTTCCTACAGAATATGACTTTGGCTTTATTTTCAGAGCAGTTCTGCAGTTTATTGTTCTCCCAGATCACACCTAACCCCATAACTCCTGGGAATTGTGGGGAGAGGAGGTGGGAAGAGCTTTTTTCATCCTTCAGCAGACTTCACCTCTAACAGCAGGCAGCTGCCTGCCCTGCACACATCACAGCTGCCCTTTGCAAGAGCCAGGGCCCCAATTTTCCAGCATTTTCACATCTTCTGTTCCTACAGACGTTAGGAACACATCTTCTGTGTTAACTACAGACCAAGTTGTCTGTGTAACAAAAGTTCCCACAGATCTCACTTCAAAGGGCTGGGCTGAGACATTCCAAATCCAGCCAGTGAACTCTTCCAGATTATCATCCAAACCACGGGGGGTTTTATTTTCCTTTATTAAAGCACACAAGTAGCCACCTAAATGTCATTTACACTGAGGCAGTTGTAAAAATCACACCAACACAACCACTTCCAAAGGGAACTACAGAGCCAGCACTAAAGCCATCCAGCTGACCATGAGCCTGTAACTCCAGAGGCACAGTACAATAAAGTTTTGCTTTCAGGTGTTTGCTGCTCTTCTTATAACAAACTTCACTGAGCATTGAACAGAATGCCTAAACACATTCACTGCAAGGGCTGTGGAAATACCCAAAAGCTTGGTAAACACACATTTATTGAGTACTTGATTATGTAAGATTGTTGCAGCATAGTCATTATAACAAAATCCATGTTTAAAAAATGCCAAACACTGGTATATTTCTTTTCAGAGGACATAAATCTATTTAAAAACCCAGCCAAGAACGACAAAGGGAGTGTGGCTGTTCCTTGGCCAGCCACTAAAGAATGTTCTCCTGCTTCCTAAAGGTAAGAACAGCCTGGTAGTCAGTTCCCAGCTTCAGCCCCAACCATTCCAGACCCCATCAGACCATCCCACAGCTGGGGGCTGAGCAGACCCAAGGTCTCTCACTGCCCAGTGCTGTTACCACCCACAAACATCCCACCTAACCCAGTTTTCCAAAGGCATGGATGCAGCTTGCCAGCAGCACAGTTCTCAAGGAGCTGTTCTTCACATGCCTGGGGTTTAAAAGGGATTTCCTGGTGAGGGCTCCTGGATTAACATCCACTACAAAGTGCTTAAAGTGCCCAGATTTCCTCCTCCCTCTAGACTGGTGTGGGGAAGTGCTAACTACATAGTTTGGTCTGGTATACATCCAGATTCCCAATCAAATGTTAATCAGGATCAAATCCTCCCAGCTTGAGCAGTTTACAAGGGATCTGGGTCCTACACAGGGGACGCTGCAATTGCATCTATATTTTAAGCCCAACCATGAGAGAAACACTCTACGTAGAAATATAACATTCAATTCCTTTGTACAGCATATAGAAAGAGCATGACAGCATTAAAATATTGGCAAATCGATACATTAAAAATACAGAATCTCATAGATCAGAGCACAAGAAATATATTCACACTGGAATCTGTACAGTCCAGATGACACTGCTGGTTTTCATGTTGGAATTGACCCCCCCCCCCATCTCCAGGTGGAGGTTGGTGCTTTGCTCCCCCATCAGCACCACTGGCCACCACTGCCCAGATTTCCTGGGGCTGCTGTGCTACAGGGACAACCCCAGGCTGCTGCTCTCCCCAGCACAGAGGGCACTCAAGTGGTGAAACTCTTTGGGGAAGCTTTAGTTATCAAGTGAAATGACAGGACATTTCATTTTCCACAAAGTTCTGGCCTACTTTGGGAGAGGAAAATCAACCCATGGTTGGCAGGAGGAGTGGTACCCAGTCAGCATTTCCCACATGCTTTCAGCATTGTGGGTCTCATTTCAGTTAAAAACATAAAACAAACCACAGAACCCCAGGTTTTGTATGGTTTGTGCCCCACTTATCCCATGTGGAGTGGGTGAGACTGTTTTAGGCTGCCTCCTCCCACCAGGAATGTCCATGTCTTCTGGAAGAGCTGCCATTCTGACTTCTCCAAAATGGCTTTTCCTATACATAAATATATGTGTCTATAGGCCACTTCATCCCTTCCTCCTCTCACTGAGGAAGATGCCCAAGGCATGCTTGGTAAGGTGAAATCCTTCCATGTATCTGCACCTATTCCACTACAGACATGTATATACAGACACATTCTGTCCATTATTACACTGGAAATACAGAGTTAAAAAAAAAAAAAAAGTAGTAGCAGCATGTAAATGAGAAACTGTGTTCATTTCCTCAGTCTTTTTTCTTCCTCCTCTTCAGAGCTACACCATCAGTTCTGACAGTCTCTTCTCCCCACCCTGCTCCCCTCTGAGAGGGGGGCTTTCACTGCAGATCCCATCTGCAGGAGCTGGCGCTGTCCTTCCAAGGCATTTTGAATTTCTCTTCCCGTCAGCTCCCTCCTCTCCTCCCTGCATCCTTCCCTGCGCGATGACTCATCCTGGAGATGATCTTGGGTTTTGTCTGATGGCTCCTGCCCACTTTGGCTGCAGCAGAGTCTGATTTCAGAGCGATGGCACAGGAGGAAAACCCGCACACGAGCACCTGGTGAGCCAGGCGAGCTGTTAACATCTCCACCCAGGGAGGAAAAAAGCAACGCAAGAGTTCACATTCTGTCTGTCTCCCAGCAGCAGCAGAAGTGTAAGCCCCAAGAGCGATGCTTATTTTAAACCCTTAATTCCCAAACTCTCAATAATGTTGCAAACCCCCAGGGTTTTGCAGGAATCAGCGGGCTGATTTCAAACACATTCCTTAGTGCAGGTTGCACTGGAATTAAAAATGCATCAAATGGGCTCACTTTCTCTGCGTGCTCTCGCAGTATCCGGTTTTCCCAACCCCCAAAATTGTTTCCTTGGTTTCTCACCTCTCAGTTTTGGGGTCCTGCTAAAGGGCCGTTATCTGAGTCAGTTCTGACGTGGGGGTGGTCGGACTCTGCTGGGCGACAGCCACCATGGGGATTTCCATGCCTAGTCAGGCCGGATTGTTAGTCCCCTCCGAGTTCTTGCAGGCGTAGGCCACATCCTTGGCGATGCTGCACATCCTGTTGGACATCTGGAGCTCGGTCCTGAAGGCGGTGGGGAAGCAGAACTTCTTGAAGCACGCCTTGAAGTTCTCATCCAGGAAGGCGTAGAGCACGGGGTTCAGGCTGCTGTTGGCGTATCCCAGAGCGGTGCAGAAGCAGGAGATGGCCAGCTCCAGCTCGCTCTCTGCCTTGGCACCCAGGCACTGCACCAGCACGAAAATCTGGATGGGAGTCCAGCAGACGATGAAGACTGCCACCACCACCAGCACCATGCGGGTGATGCGCCTCAGGTTCCGGTCCTTCTCCTTGGAGCCCGAGAGGACACGGACGTTCTTGAGCCGCCTGATCATCAGGCTGTAGCAAATGGTGATGATCAACACAGGGATCATAAAGGAGAAGAGAAAGACGCAGATGCCAAACACTGGATCCCAGTAGTCCACGGGAGAAGGGAGCTTAATTAGACAATCAATCTCTGCAAGAGTAAAAAAATAAAACGGGAAGGAAGATCAGCAAACGCAGATCAAGCAGAAAAGCATCTGCACATTCAGATTAGTTTAGGTTAGTTAGGTTAATGGTAGGACTTGATGATCTCAGAGGGCTTTCCCAACCTAACATAACAATTCTACGTTGAATATTCAATTCCTCACATAACAATTCCATGTATAACACTAGAAAAGCAGCAGCAGTGATACAGAGAGGCAGGGGCAGAGTTAAGATGATTTTACAGCAGAGGCCTCACCCCACAGATGAAACTGGCCCCCCTCTCCCTGGGCTCTCCTGTCCCTCCCGCTGGTGCAGTTTTACTGACCGTTGTTCTCGTTCTCCGCAGATCCCATCACCATGGCCGGGATGCCGAAGACAGAAGCCAGTGCCCAGATGCAAACATTGACCACCTTGGCCTTGTGGGGCGTGCGGATGTCCAGGGCTTTGATGGGGTGGCAGATGGCGATGTAGCGGTCCACGCTCATCATCGTCAGCGTGAAGGTGCTGGTGAACATGTTGTAGTAGTCAATAGAGATGGCAATCTTGCACAGGACATTGCCAAAGGGCCAGAAGCCCAGGAATGTGTCTGTTCCCTGGAAGGGCAAGGTCATCAGGCACAGGGTGTCAGCCAGGGCGAGGTTAAAGATGTAAATGTTGGTGGCTGTCTTCATCTTGGTGAATCTGAAATGCAGGTATGAGCAATGGTTAGAGTTCCCACTGACCATGATGGGTCAGACACTGAACTTTATTGAAGCAGATTTTGCTGATTTCCAAAGGAGATGCCATATTTTCATACGTAACGAGATTGTCCATCCTCACCTTTCTACGTCCCACAGGTTTACCAACACACAGTTCAGCCCATCTCCTACAACACCACAAATGGTCCGTCCACAGTCAGCTCCATGGGCAGGAGAATCATTCCCTCAGACTGCCAGTGAGCACCATCAAAGCCTGAGGCTGTCACCTCAGATGGTGTTCCTTGAAAAATTACTTCAATAAGGCCAACTTAGGGTTTCACTACCTGTGGCTTCGTTGTATTGGTGAGAGCTTTAGCCAGTAAGCTGATGTGAAAGGCGCAGGGGCAAGCTGATCAGCCATCTGACATGGGCTCATAGCCAGAGAGCATGGCTAATGCGAGCTGTCAAATCAGAGCAGGCAAAATGGCCAGCCCTGGCCAGCCAAAAACTGGTGAGGTTTGTGTTGAACACAAACTAGGTTTGAATCAGAAAACAGAATATCACAATGGATCTTTCTAGAGAGAGGAGTAAAGTCACACATCAAACCCTAAAGATTTCTTTGTCATTTCAATATTACTTTTACCACACGAACTGACTGTCCCGAAGGAAGAGTCACCTTGCTCTAATGGCAATCATCTCCTTTTCACACTTGGGAAATGATGCAGAGCCAGCTGTGATCACCTATCTGGGGGGACATGCAGTGTCTGCAGAAATGGAAGCTCAACAGTGACTCTGTGACTGAGTCTAACATTTCAGCTCCAGGATATTCCTCTCATGGGCAGAATAAGAGCTCAAATAGGTATAATTTTCAAACTACAGCTCATCCATCATTTACTCTACTAATGGCCATAGCAGAAACATGGCCAAAAATGGCAGACAATGATGTTATTAACATAGTGGAAGTTCATTTGAGGGTAACACTTCTACCCATAAACTGCTGCACTATTTTCAGCTGCACTATTTTTCGACATGTTAAAATATTACAGGGTCTGATTTGACTTAAAAAGCTCTTTTTGCCAATTTGATCCAGAACAGCAAACTCCCAGCTTCCCTTCTCTGTGCTGTGCCCTCCCCTGAGTGTCTTCAGCTCTTGATAAATGATTTGAATGCTTGGCAGAACATTATCACTGGTGTATTCTGAACTCTGCTGGGACACACATGGTGACCTGGCCAGGTCTGCAAGGGAAGCAGACAGGAGAGCCACGATCCAGACTATAAAGTCTGGTTTTTTACCTGCCTTGGAGCTCTGAGCTGGGCTTGTATCAGAATTCTAAAAGCAGCTTCAGAAAGCAAAACCAAATGATCCTATTTTTGACCCTGAAAGCCAAGGGAAGCTTTTGGAGGTTGGCACTGATGGAAACATTGTTGGAAATACTCTGAGGTCCCCACACAAGCCTGAGTGAGGCTTTTCCTGGCCCAGAAATCAATCGCAAGTTCTTAGAAATCCAGCCCAGACAAACTTACATAACCAAAAGCAGTAGAAGGAAAATACTGGTTCCTTTCCTTTTGTGATGGGATGAATGAGTAAAAGCACTTTGCAAATCCAACATAACCAGGCAGCTTAAAGCCAGGGCTTTAAGCTCTGGGATTTCCTAAGGAGAATTACAGCAGCCTCCAGTGCCCTGAACTCCAGAGGAGCATCTCAGGGTGGCCATGTTTTCCTTTCCTGAATTCTTGCACTTGGCATAAACTTGGCAAAGCACAGGGGGTGAGGTGGGTCTGTGAGTGGATCCACTCTCCCCTCCAGGTCAGTAGAGGGGGATTGATATGAAGAAGTGAAATCACGGTTTTAGCAGCTCTCGCAAAAATAAGCATTGTCAGCTCAGGCTTTAGGAAATGATTCAGTCACCCAAGATTGTGGTGGCAAAGGTCTCCTGAGAGCTGCAATTTCCCCTGAACACCACAGACCTGGCTGGGCTGGCTCAAGCTTCCCAAAGGTCAAGTTTGTTGCAGACCAGCCTTCCAGGAGGGCTGGAGCCAGAGGCAATTCATCAACATGCCTCTAACCCTTTTTACTGGCATTATAACTCAAGGAATAACAATTTTGAGCAATGGTGAGCAACTTTACTGCAAAACAGTAAAAATTAAATGTTGTTCCTGTTTTATTTTTTGTGATTGACCAGTGGGAGAAGCAAGCAAAAATTCACCCACCTCCAAGCCCCGTCCAGCATCCCTGGAGGACAAAGCTGCCTCCCTGGACATCCCTGTGTCCCCGGCACTGAGAAGTTTGGAGCATCTCAGCCAGCACTGAACTCTGGGTTCAGAGCAAATCTTCAGATCCTTCCCACATCCCCCAGCCCCACTGTCCCCAGTGTCCTCCCAGACACCTCTCAGCATGAATTCAGGTACAATTGCTCTGCCTGGCCCTGCAAAATCCTTCAGTGCACAGATCCCTGTCCTCTGCCTCCTTCCTCACCACCTCCTGGAGGTGATGGCAGAGCCACCTTCCCCTGCTCCAACACAGGACACACTGAGGTGGCTGTCCCACCACTTCCTTCAACCCATCTTCCAACAGAATTTAAAGCTGATTTTGCATTCTTGAAAGGGGGTGAAATTAATTTGCACCTAATTAATTACTTCTACACCACTTTCTCTACATGCTGAGAGCCAACAGCCATTGTCCCAACCAACCAATGTTCCCAAACATTTCCAGAATGTTCAGTACACACAAAAACCAATCAATCACTTCTCTGTGGATTAACCTCTCTTTCTTTTTCTCCAGAAGTGAGAGTGTTCTTTCTCTTAATCTGCACCAAAAAAAAAAAAAAAAAATTAAACCCTCAGGCTTTAGGAGGCACCTCAGTCTCCTCCCCCACAGCACAAATCTGCTGCAGATTTGTGGATTCCGTGGAGGACATTAGCTCCCTGCTGGGCCACTTTCTTGCACTCTGCCACAGAGGTAATTTCCTAATGGAGCATCTCCCACAGGGTAGTGCTCAGCTCTGCATCCCCTTTGTCACCACAGTAATTGCTTTGCTCTGCTCTCCTGTTCCCTGGGATGCCGAGGAAGAGGAAGAACACCTGGATATCAGCTCAGCACTTATCTTACTTATCTTCCCTCTCCTTTGTGCTGCGTGGACCCTCTGGCAAGGGGAGTGCACGGGCTGGGAGAGGAGATTAAGGGGAGGTCATTAAGGGTAGGTTGGCAGACACACCCTCGGGGCTTTAAGGACCTGCTCCTCACAAGAACAGATTCTGCCTCTGGCTGAGCCTCGGGGTGAGCTGCAGACCTGTTGGTTTTGCATCTTTCCCTTTTCCACGCAGCCACAGCAAGGCTCAGGACCAGCTGGCTGCAGCAAACCCAGAACCCGAAGTGGAGCTGCAGACAGCAGGGGCAGAGGGACCAGAGCAAAGCCTGCAGCCCTGAAAAACCCTGAGCATCGTTTCCAGGAGCTCTCTGCCTCTTGGAGCCTCCTGATTTTGATGTGTGTAGCTGCAGCTAATTAGGATGCAGACAGTGTTGCTCACCTTGAGCAGCTCCCTCCATCCCCACCTCACGCCCTGGCAGCAGTGCCAGCCTTTGCCCCCATGCCTGGACATGCTCCAGGAAGCAAAACGGAGCAGAAAAAGCTCAAAGAGGATTTTCACTGAGCTGCTCTCACCCTGTGATGGTGGAAATCAGCCCCAGTTCTCTCCCATCTCTTCTCCCAGCCCTCAGGTTGTGTGAAGCTGATATTTGATCTGGCACGTTCTGTCATGATTTGTGTCCCCTCAGCTGTCCACCCACACTGTGCTCTCTGCATCCCTGCTGCTCTCATCACCATCCCAGAGCCCCCTCAGCCTGGAACTTCTGACCAGTGCAAGATGATTTATCCTTAATGGTTCATCAGGCACTGAAAAAACCGCACAGAGTTTGAGAAGGACAAATTTAAATTAGTCTGGACTCCGAGGCCAGACACTACAGCAAAGGCAGCCACTAGCACAGCACCTAAAAGCCTATAAATTACCCAGCAAGACAGGGACTGACTAGCAGGGGCTAGTAAGGCAGTCTGCAGCCAGCCAGGACGAGCACACACCTTGGGAAAGATGATCTTTTTGTCCTTGAATCTCACCTCTGTGTCTGGGGGACAGCTATGGAAAACCAGCCCTGCCCTGCCCTGCAGGTGCTCCGTGGGGATCTCTGTGGATGTGCTGTCAGGCCAGGGGAGGAGGCTCTGTGACTGCTGCTGCTGCAAAGGCTTCAGCAGCTCACCCAGGGGCTCTCAGGGATGCTCCCACGTCCCTGAGCAGGCGCTTGGCCATCAGGAATGGTGCTCTGGTCTAAGGAGAGCATCCATCAGCATCCACCCTGCAGCAGGACACTCTTATCCCTGCTCATGGGCCAGATCTGCCTCTGCTGACACCCAGAATGCTTCTGGGAATTGCCCAGTCCCTGAAAAACACTGGGAACCAAGTCCCATGTTAAAGATCACAGAGTTACTGCTGCACAAGGGCAACTCCCTTTCACCCAACTCACAAAGAGCCCTTCAGCACACACTGGAGCTACAGGACCTGTGTTAGCAGGGGCCAGATGTGGCTACTGTGGGTCATGTGGCTGAGCCCAGCTCACCTGGGCTCATGGGGACCCAGGAATCAGGGAGCTGCAGACCTGTCCTGTGCAGCCATTATCCCAGCAGGATCCCCTGCTGCTCACCTCACCATCCTCACCCAGCTCCACTCACTGTCCAGGGCAAAGAGTCCTTGGTTTGGGTTCCATTTCTCCATAAATTGCAATAATTGATGTCTATTTGTTTTGTTTTTCAAGGAAAAACTAAGAGGCAGATCTGGAGACAACAAAGGTCTCAGATGGCCCCACTCGTGTCTGCTGGGTCCCCTGCATGAAGCACTCACTTCATTTCAGCTCTGAGACACACAGCTGGTCCAGGCTTTTCCCTGAGAAAGCTTTCTATTAAGAAGTCAGCATCTCTGAAATGTCATAATCAACTTAATTTCCCCTGTCTCATCCCAGCCAGCTGCCCTCACCCCTGTTCTCAGGGGCTGAGGCAGTTTTCAAGCAGAACAACAGCTGGCACAGCATCCCCAGGCAGGCTCATGGTTCAGGCACCTCCCCATCACATTTTTCCTCCTAAAGCTTCACCTGGAGGCAACAGATGAAAATGTAGGGGATTGACAGCCCTAAACTGCCCAAAACATTGCTCAAAATGCTCTGAAAGGGGTTCTGCCATAGGAGAGCTGAGCACCCCCAGCATTGTGCCAGGCTCCCAACAGAGAGCTGCCATAGCAATGAGGAGTGCCCCAGAAATGGGGCAGAATTCCCAGGGGGGGTTTGCACTGGAGGAACGGAGTCCTGCAGATCCCCACTGCTGAGCATCACAGCAGCATGGTGGAGCTAGGGACAGCGAGCTGCACCTTGTCCCTTCCCTGGGTCACCAATGGCTGGCAGAGATTTGGGGCCTCTGTCACACCCCGACAAGGACACCTGGGTCAGCCCTACCCCCAGAGCCAAAAATACTAAAATATACCCTCCTTCTCCTTTGCTTTCCTTCCTAAATGCAAAGATCTTTGGCAAGCAGCCTTGCAGACTTCAGTTAATAGCTAGGAGGGATCTCAGCAGCCTGGTTTTCCCCAAACCTGCTGTTCGGCTCCTTGTTTCACGTTCATTAAGAAGCAGAACAGGAAATATATGCAGAGGAGAGCAAACAGCAGAAGGAGGAGGGAGGGGAGGCCTCGTCTCTGCTGGCAAGGAGCTCCAGGATGAGCCAGCAGAACAAAGCCACAGACGAGGCAGGTTCCCACAAAAGGCCCTTTACTGTCCAGGAAATCGTGTTCCTGACAAGAGCCCTTCTCCATCTTACCCAATTAGTGCTGCTCAGCACTGGAAGGGATTGACAGTCACATGATGACTGTCTCTATAAATTAATCGTTCCAAATGTTAAATCATTCCAAATACAATAGAGATGTAGGCTGGGTTCTACATCAGAGGGGAAAACCTAGAGGAGGCTTTGAATTTGTGCTTCTGTGTGAAATACCGGGAGATTTAAAACTTTCCCCTTGGTGCTGCAGAAAACTCATTCAGGAGGAACAAAAAAAATGAGCTTTTCTGATGCCTCCAATTTCCTTGAGTGCTGGTATTAGAGTATTTTTATTTCCAAGCTCCCTCAAAAATGGGAAACAATTACTGTCTATAACACTACCAGTCTTTTTCTGGAAGGTAGTACACCATTTTCCTATAGGCTGTGTAATATGTTGAAGTCTGGTTATCATTGCCAAAGCATAGAAAGAAAAAAAGCTTGTTGTGGTGCACATTACTTACAGTGATAAGAGTGCAGCACAGAGGGTTTGCTGATCATTTTTCCATTAATTTATCATTAAGAGCCTCTAAACCCTGTGTTGACTTACCAGAAACCAACTTCCAACCTGCTGAAAACCAGGTGCTACTCAAGGCATGAAGCATCAAAGCTCTAATCTGAGGAGAAAAGCATGTATTTGAGAAGCTCAGCAGCATCCTCCTTGTATGGCCACAATTTGGCAGCTCTTCACTAATCTGTGCACCTGGCCAGGCTCAGGAGTTTGATATTGAGTCCAATGCATCCTCACACCTGCTCCTGACCTGAACAGACAGGGCAAGGAGAGAAGAATCCTGGGCAGAGATCACCAGAAGTTGTTATTCATCAACCCAAGGGGCATTGCCTTGGCTCTAACTCAGTGTTGGTCTCAGCTCTGTGCTGAGCTCCCAGGGAACATGGGTGGGGAACAGCAGCTCCCGCACATGCTCCAGCTCAGTTATAACCTCCCCAGCACACACTTTCCATTTCTGAGTAAAGGGAAATAGAGAAATGGAAAAACCTGGGGGAGATTGGGGTGGCACCTGTCTTCAGTTTTCAGTTGCTCAAAAACTGCAAAATGAGAGGACACACACAAAAAGAGTTACATTCCTTGGGAAATCCTAGTGCTAAATCCCACTTTCTTTTTTCTGAGTGCCATTTATCCAGCTGGAAGGTAACAAAGTCAAAGTCAAAAAGAGGTGGAGCAGAAGCCAGTATTTTTCATGGTTAGCCATGCACAGGTCCACCCCCGGGACCCCAGTTTGGGACTCATTTTACTGGGGCTGCTCCAGTCCCAGCCCTGGGCAGGGCCAGCAGGATCCTGCTGTGCACATCCCACCAGACCTCTGCAGACAGGGAGAAGATTTCTGCCAAGGTTTCTCCTTACACACACCAAGGCTCATGCACGGGGTAAGGACTCCCTTCCTCTGCTGCACAGGGGCTGGCATTCCCATGCAGCCACATCACCGTCATCACACAAGAGCTTCCAGCTCCAGAGCCTCCCTACTCACACACACACACCCACAAACTACTCCAGCAATTGCTGCTACACTGAGCAGGGACACAAGCTGTCCAGACATGGCACCAGTGTGCTGCAAACCTCCTCTCTGCATCTGCAGACTCCCTGGGGCTGATGGGATCCCCTCTCAGTGCCACAAACTCCTCAGCTAAAAGAGCAAAGGCAGGCAGCCTGATGAACACTCACGTCACTTTGCCCTTGGATCAGAGATTCAGCCACTCTTCAGCAACCTCTGGTACCAAAGACCTAATTTTACAGCATCTCCCCCAGCCAAGCTCCAGTTATTCAAGGGAAAGGTGCTTTGGAAGCAGTTGGGCTCCTGGCAGGAACAAGACAATCTTATCAGTGTCTGAATACCTGCTAAATGCTTTCCTCTTCTGTTGGAGGATTCAGCCTGTCTTTTCTGTGCTGGCAGCATCCACCTGCACCAGGAATCTGCTCCAAGATGTGGATAAAATGGAAGCCTCCTCCTTAACAAGCAGGGTGCAGAGATCAGAAGGGGAATGCTGGGTTTAACATAATCACAGCCCTAAGAGCTGCACAAACTTATTCTGTGCTTACAGGGAGAACAAGGTTTCTGATTCCCAGAACCAGAGGGTTGGAACCACAGCAGAAGCAGACAGGGACACTCACAATGCCAACAATGGGCAGGGAGGATGGAGTGGTGCATGCTCTGTGCTGTCATTCTGCAAAGGTCCCCCACACTCTCCTGACTTCAGCACAAGGAGCCAGACAAGTTGCCCTCAACTCTGCAACATCCTCTCACATCTTATTTAAGTCTGCAGGCTCCAAAGGGTTGGAAGACTTACATTTGTGATTTTTTTTTTCTCCTGTGAAAATAAAAGGAAGCTTCCCAGCAGGCTCTTTCCTTTGCAACAAGGTTCAGCTTTGGAAAGAGCCAGCTCCCAGATGGAACAGCACCTGCAAACACAGCTGGGGTGCCGGACACAGCACAGGAAGGAGAGGTCCCATTAAGGAGCCAGCACACCCTGGCAGTGGAATGCTCCCAGCACATTGCCCTCTCCAGGGACATACAGACCTCTAAAAAGAAAAAGAAAAAGAAAAAAAAAAGACCCATTTTTTGAGCAGACCTGCTCACTCTGTTCCATTCTCTGGGTTAAACTTTAGGAGGCACCAGAGGGCAGCTGAAAACTGGCAGAAACCTTCATCACAGCCTAGGAAGGGGGAAAAAAAAAAAAAAACCAACAAAAAACCAAAACCAAAACAATAAAACAAATGCCACATCATTACCTCTAAAGCACGTCTCTAACCCCAGGGAAGCGCCTGGCTGCTTCTCCCGCAGCAGGGATCGAGGGAGGGAAGGTCTGCCCTGCTCCCAGCTTTCCCGGGAGCCTCCCCGGTGTCCTACCTGACGATGACATACATGACGGAGCAGTTGCCCACCAGCCCCACGATGCACACGATGGAGTAGACGACCACGATGGTGATCTTGATGCTGAGCGGCAGGAAACCGTCCCCGGTGCTGTTGTTGAACCAGTTGCTGGGCAGAAAGCTCAGGTTGAGCATGGAGGAGTCGTTCAGCAGCTTCCTCAGGTCGGGGTCTTCAAAAATATGGGCAGGGAAGAGCGGGTCCATCCTGAGGAAGCAGCCTGCGCCAAGGACCTGGGGCAGCAAGAGGCAGCTTTAAAATCTGCTGATCAAACGGGTGGCAGGGGACTGTAGCAAGGCAAGTGCACGAGAAACGCTGGGGAAGGGTGATTTATTACCAGGGAGAAGGATGATTTACCGGCACGGAACACAGCCCCCCTCCCCGGGAGCATTTTAATGGGATGCAACCCTGAGAGCCTGGCTCATCCCGAGCACGCAGGGATCGCGCATTTCTCCACACGGCCGGCGCAGGGGACGCGCGGGCTGCACACACCATCCCTGCTCCAGGGGCTGCATGTCCCCACCTGCCTCTCCCATCCCTGCGGGCCGGTGAGTCCCCCACACGCGCCTTTGTGCCCCCAGACCTTCCACTGCCGCCCGAGAGCCACCGGGGCTCCGGCACGACCCCAGCGGAGCTAAAACAGCAAGGAAAAGCCCGAAGTTGGCAATGAAGCCCAGCCGGCTGCTTACCTGCGGCAGGTCCCCTCTAGCGCAGCTCCGCACCTGGCTCCGCTGCCCGCGGCCGCATCCAGCACCCCCGGCCCGGGGGATGGGGGACACGGACAAAGCCGGGGCTCCGCAGGTGGAGGAGGGGAAAGGGCTGCTCTCCAAGCAGGGCTGCTGCCAGCGCAGGGGGCTGCACCCCGGAGCCCACGTTTTTAAGGAAAAGGGAGGGATGAGGGAGAGGGAGGGAGGGAGGACGGAGGGCGGCTGGGCAGAGCCAGGCTGCCTGGCTGCTCCCACTGCGTAAGAGAAAAGCGGGAGGGGAAAGGAGGAAAAGAGCGGGGGGGGGGGAATGATAAATAACCGAACGCGGCAAAGGGAAGGCGAGCCCACACCTGCGAGATGCGGGCAGCGTCCTCCCCCCGCCCCGGGGGAGCTGCCGTGGCCTCCCCGTCCCACCCCCGGCGCGGCGAGCGGGGACCAGCATCCCCCAAGGTCCCCAAAGGCACCCTGCCGCAGCCCCCCGACCCCCAGCCTACCTGGGGTGGGCTCCCAGCAGGAGATGCTGGGGAGAAGGGAAGGATCGGGCAAGGCTCCTGGGGAGATCGGGATTCGGGAAGCAGATTCCTGCCTCCTCTGCAATTGTGCAACCTGAGCGCTGTTCTAGCGCAGGAGCAGCGGAATGGGGAATCTGACCTAGAAACTGGCAAAAAAAAAAATATAGATATATATGGAGGAATGAGAGCTACGGGGAGAAAATTGTTATTATTTAATATTCTTCTAGCAGCATTAACTAAAGGTCATTTTGGTAACCCAAACCATCCTGCACTTCTCACCGGAGTTAGATATTTCAGAAGCTGCAGTGGTAAATTCCTTACCTCAAGGTGGGGTGATTCACACAGAGCCCACAGGTACCTGCAGTTCCCAGTCTGGCTGTGGGACACTGACCCTGATAAACTCGTTTCCCAGGAGCTGCAGAGTCCCCCAGGTAGGCCAGCCCCCAAAGAGGGTGCACAGAGGACTTTGGGACCCACTCCCAAAGTGGTTTCACTGCTGAGTACCAGAGCCCCCTGCTCTGGTGCCTCTGGCCATCTGCAGCGTTTCCCCAAAGAAGCAATTTTCCAGCATTTTGGGGAAATTTCTCAGTGTTGGGGACACAAGCAGAGGCACACACTGATCAGAGAAAATTCAGGGCACACTTACCCAAGAGGTGGAGAAAAAGAACATGAGCTCTTGGGCACCAAATGTGTTTTCTCTTCTCAACCCACAGCCAGCCCAAGACAGAGCTCCAGCCCCAGCAGGCAGCCAGGGGCACCCCTTTGTGCTCCAGCTCTCCTTTAATGGATATTTGGGGATATTTAGCACAAAAGCTGCACCTTCTTCACCAGGAACACAATGCTAAGGTATGGTGCTGCATGGCAATTTTCTTGAAAGCTTCAATAAGAGATCTCAGCTTTAACAGGGACAAGGGAAAAAAGCATGACCCAGAGTTCCAGCCCTCCTGCAGAACAGAACAGTCTCACTGCTTCAAAAAGTGGGGTTTTGTCAGACCATTAATGAGAGTGTGAAATAAATATTAGACCAGACATTACCTTAATTGTCAGTGGATTGATTTCCAAAGGCTGAAGCAAGGACAGCAGTAAATCAGTGCAAGAGCTCCCAGCTGGACAGCCCAGGAGCTGACGGGAAGAGTGTTTGCAAATTCAGCTCTGCTCCTCTCTGCTGGCTCTCACCCCAACAAGTGCTCTCAGCCCTTCCCACACTCCTTTATGTTAATGCAGAGCAGCAAATACAGCAGCTTCACCTATTTATCTTGTGGTTTTCTTTCTGGCCTGAGAGATGTGTTTCTAAAAGGCTGCTGGAAAAGGCATCAGGAATGCACTTTGAACTACTGACAGCCAAGATATGTGTCTGGGACAAATATCCTTCCAAAAATTCCCCTCATCCATCCCTCTAGCTGTTCCTCAGTGTTCATCCCTGCCCTCTTTGCATGGGGAAAAAAATCCCATGGTGGTCATGCTGCACCTTCAGTCCCAATCTTGCTGCTTCACATCATTTCACTCCAATTATAATTCCATAATGGTGAGATCTGTCCTTCCAGAATATCTCATGGGATCTTAGCACATGCTCTTCTCAGGGTCCCTAGGGTGAGAGGGGGACAATCATCTTGAGAGCATGATTGCCAGATTTCTTCTTCTTCAGAAGCCTCCTGTCCATTGGAGTCTATGCACCAAGCCTGGGAATGAAGACAAACCAAATTTTGTCAACATTACCCAGAAAGGATTTATCCCAGCCTATTTCTTTGAAAAACAGATCAGCTCTTCAGCTTGAAGGTTTCTCAGCAGACAGCAAGGTAACAAAAGCCAAGGAAAGAACAAGACAAAAAGCCACCCTTCTTCCAGGTGATGCCCAGGGAGCTTTTGGGGAGGCAGCAGATCTCACACACCGTTAGGAGATGCTGAATTTACAACAGAGAGTCCAGGGCATCAACATGGAAGTGAAAACACCTTCCACCAGAGCAGATTGTTCCAAGCCCCATCCAACCTGGCACTGAACACTTCCAGGGATGGGGCAGCCACACACACCTTTGCCATTTCTGCCTCCAAACTCCTGGAGCATCAGCACAGTCTGCATCAGTTGTGGATGAAAAATCCTTAATTATTTCAAGATAATCCAGTTCAAGTGCCAGTAATTTCATCTTCTGCCATTTCAACCAGTTTAACTTTACAGACATTGTTCCTAAATGTGGAGAACCTTTGCTGATTCTGCAGAAAACACCTCTCAGCCACCTGCATCTCATAATAGCAACAGCCCACAGGGATTTTTTTTTTTTTTTTTTTGCCTTTCCTTTCAGGGGGTGAAGACGTCTGCATGTCAGAGCTGTTTTGTCACCTTTAGCATGGTTTGCCAATCTGTTTAATCAAGGCCATCATGAGCAGAGAATTAATTTTTCAATATGTAAAATCATTTTTTCATGCAGGGAATGAGCACCTGGGCTGGAGAGGAGCAGGAGAAAGGCTGGGGGGATGTGGAGTGTGCTGGAAAGCAAAGGTTCAAAAATGCAACTGTCACTCCTGGAATGATGGCCACCTGATTAATGGCTTGCCAAAGGCTAATTAGCTAAATTTGGACCACAACTGCTGGTAATGGGTGATATTAGAACATTAATGATGACAAAAATTTAGCAATGATGTATCCCTTCCTAAGGCAGGAGAGTTAGTACTGAATGATCTTTACAGATTTATGGTCAACAGAGCATCAGGGAAACAAGAATAAAAAATAAAAAGATGTAAAAAAAAAATGAAACCATCTTTTCTTGAACCCTAAACCCCACTTTTCCAGAGCAGCCTTTACAAGAGGATTCAGTGGTACTTCACTGAGACTGTGGTGATAAATTCTGTTCCTTGCATGGTGCTATAAATCATGAAACAACACAAGACAAGAAAGATTCCACAACTGGATTATCTGCCCTCCATGGCCAGCAGACTCATTCAAAGAATGAGAAATAACATCTATTAAAAAGAAGAGGACATTGGCTTCTTCAATATTTCCAGTAATACATATTCATTGTAGCTTTTGTACTTCCTCAAGTCAGACTCATTTTAGAGATGACAGAAACCTCTGCAGGCTCTTTTCTGCATTGCTGAGCATCAGAATGAAAAGAAAACCAGAAAAACTGTTCCCAAGGAGCAGTGATGGGCCTGGGGGCAAACACACTGTGGGAAGGGAATCCCACTGACTGTGTGTGTGTTGAGGTGTTGCCTAAGTCCCAGTCCCAGCAAGGGGAATGGGGTCAGTGGGATGTCACAGGCCATGTCTGCCTTGTTCACAGTCCCCATCTCCCTTCCATGGTCACTGAACTTCTCAGGAAGAGCAGATCTGGGACAAGATCTCAGGATGCAAATGGCAGGGTGATGGTCCAGCCCCTGTCAGAGGTGGCTGATCCCAGTTCATCCCATACACACTCAGACCCAGTCACAGACACAAGCTGAGACATTCACACACAGATTTTAGGTCCAGCCCAGCAGAGAAAGGCAGCTGAGCTCATCCATCCCCACATTCCTGAGGGGCAGCTTCACCTGCCCAGTGTTGACACTTCTGTACCCTGACAGCCCACCTTAATGCTGGCTGGGGACCTCCCTGCCAATTCTTGAGGCTGCATGGAAGTGATTTATAGGAACAGGCATATTATACAATAAAACAATTTCCTGAAGGATCAGCTGGTTCCCAGGGCCACCAGGCTAACAAAGCTGGAGTCAATGGGTTCCTCTTTGTAAAACAGCAGGACAGCAGAACAAGTGTAATTCATGCCCATTTCAAGCACAAATACTGAGGAAATCTCTCTATTTCTCTTCTACCCATCTACAGGGTCCATGGTAAGGAGAATTACCAGGATTAGTGCCATTTTAAGAAAGCTCTCTGTGTTGCTAGACCTGATCCTCATTACTTGCAAATAATTAGAGCAGACCTTGCTTTCACCAAAAATTAATTTAGAGCAAAATCCCCCAAGCTCCAGCAGGAGAAAGAACATACAGTGGTACCAACTTCACTGATATTTTATTGTCTGCCATCACTATTTGCAATTTTCAAGGGACTGATCATTTCAGGTGACTGCAGATGATGCCATAAATCTTCACTGCAGCATTAAATTGTGTTTTACTGTCTTCCTCCTCTTTGCATCTCAAACTCATGAACCTGGAAACAAGCAAGTCCCTCTACTCTTACAAGACAGAAGCTCTCCTCGCCCCCATTATTCCTTGCCTAGTACACTGATTTTTTTCACCCTTCTGGGAATGGTCACCCATAATCCAAGGCTCACTGTTTGGGTGTCCCAGAGGCTGAGAGAGTAAGGATCTCTGATTTCAAGAAAGGCAGTGATGGCTGCAGGATTTGCAGAGGTGCTCAGTAAGAAACAGCAGCAGATTATTAATTTAGATCCTCTGAACACCATCCCAGCATTTTAACCTCTTATCCCTTAGGAAGGAAAACATCTCTGTGCTCAGATGGTGAATTTCACAGGAGCCTTTCAAAGTAAAGATCTGCTTATCACCTTTGTGCTGCAGTCCTTTTATACAGCCAACAGCTTGGAGAGCAACAAAACCACTGCAAAAAAAGTCTGACACCAAGATACCCAGAAACCATTTGCTGTTTGCTTCCCCCTGACCTTGCTCTCCCCAAAGA